TGCAGCGCGGCGCGCAGGCGCAGACGGCGCCCCGCACATAGCCAAGCGCAGCCCACGCGCGAACACACCCCGCGCGCGCAGAACCATCCGCTCAGGGGCGAGTCCGAGGCGCAGCCTTGCCTGAAAGCTCTGAAACACCTGCATCGCTCCTTGCACTTTTGGGTACTCGCACGCGGTGCAGCTCGTACGCTAACACAAGGACAGAGGACACAGTGTCCGTAGTTAGTTATTTATTTGTGAAGTGACTGGCTCTATCACGTGCAGACAGAACAAGATCTGCTCAGCCTGCTGCTACACAGGGGTGCCCTCGCTTTGCTGCGCCTGTTTCTCCTGTTCAGCTCTGGCTCTTGCTCTCGCTCGCCACTCTTGTCTCTGCTTCAGCCTCTCTGGTGCTTTCAGCTTCTGCGCCTCCTTAAAAACCTGCAGGAAGAGCATGAGAAGGTGAGAGAAGGGAAGAGACAAAGTTGGGTGCTGCTATCGGAAGGATCCCACACCGCTGCTGGCTGTTACAGCTCGGAGCTGGGAGCTCCTGCAGCTGAGGCCAGAAAGCACCCAGCATGGTTCACTCAAGGCTCTTCCTTCTGGGACTCCAAACAGCCCTGGTTTTCGGGCACCATTCTCAGGTACTCTCTTCTGCCCACCCCATCCCTTAGTCACAACTCTAGTGGATTGAAGTTTACTATCTATAAACTGAAGGCACTGTCCAGCTTTTTCATTCTATATACAGTTACACCAAGGGATACTGCACATGGCTGTTACGCCAATATCTTTAGAGCAAAAGAGATCAGACGCTGGCCATACCCACATTTCTGTTCCCATGGTGCCATCAAATATAATAGCCTCACATATTGGTTTCTCTAATCGGGCTTTGAAGGAAGGCCGTTCTGAGTCAGTGCACAAATACGTTCCTGAACAAACTAGTAGCACAACTTCAAGTTCTCAAGCAGAGCATATCTGCAGCAGAAGCTTCACGGCCCACTACACACCGTCTTTTGGGAGCTCTTTGTAGAGCTTGTGTACCACTCTACAGATGTTATCCCTGTCTCCCCAAATTCCAGACACAGCTTAAAATAATTTTTATCTATAGGCCTTTTCTAATTGTCTTAATTGTGCTCTTCTACAAAAGAGATTTGCTCCGCTCCAGCTCTGTGGCTTTCTCCTTGGATTGCTCCATACCTTGAGGCAGAAAGCCTTCTTAACGAGCCAGCGCTTGGTGATCCTTCTGGAGTAGGCAGGGGGCAAAGTGTACTGGATATTCAACTGCTTGCAAGTGTTTTCAAAGATATCATAGCGGACACGGCGAAGATATGCAAGGAGTTTCTTCCGGCGATCTATATCCATCAGCATGCAACGACGATTTTTTTTATCCTGCAAAGGACTTAACGTTCACTAGACTGCAGATAAATTGTACTTCCATTCCAATAAATTACTTAAAATGACCCAGATCATGGCTAAAAGGAAACAATCAGATTAAAGACAGTATCTTAGAACAATTGCAGATATTGCAAGCACTTTAGGTCATTACAAGAAGATTTAATTTACTTTTCATTGGAATTGCTTTTTTATGTTTTGCATTTGCCCCTTCCTCCCTCAACCCCAAAGACTATTTTCAACTAGTATGCAGGTTCAAGTGACACATTTTTCCCTCTCAATTTCACTTTCACTTTCCCCTCTGCTGGCAAAAGCCACAATGGCTAGGAGGAAAAGACTATAGGGAAGGCCTACTGGCTAAAAACTGTGCTTGTAAATCTCCTCCCTATCCTTTACAAGCAATTCTCATAAGAAGCAGGCTTGATCCAAGTAATTTCAAAAGGTCTCTTGCTGCTGAAACATTTGGTAGAACTTCTGCCTTCCTAAAACTGAATTCTATTCTGGTTTACCGTTCACGCTTTTGTAAGTAACAAATAATTATGAAGTTTTTCAAATATACTTCAATAACACATTTTCCACCTTTTTCAACTGCATTAAGAACCTTTAAGATATTTTGTTCATAAGCTTATAGGTTGTGATGTTTCTCATTTGGGCTTTCAACCCCAGTAACTTTAGGTAAGAAACTGGTCATCACGACATCAATACAGTCATCTGCTAAACATGTTCACAGGCAGAACAGAGTGAGAATACAGCGGAAGTGCTCGCATTAATTATGTTGAAAACTAAGCAATGAAACCATATCTGCAACAAGAACAGATTGAGCAAAACTGTTCCAAGGTATTTGTCCAGCCATTTCCACCAAGCCAGTAACAAAAAGAACACATTCCATTTTTCAGTTGTGACTGAGCCAGCAACTTAGCCTGGCGGGAGGAAACATTTACAGCTATTTTACAAACCAATTTAGTTTCCCCGCCCCCCCCTCCCCCCCCATACCCAGAGTTAAAATCCTCTAAACTCAGAAAACAACCTGCACAGCTGCTGTCTCAGACTTGTAGGCTCAGATTACCGATACCTTGGGATGCTTCTGAAGATGTTCCTCATAAGTGCGAATCTTGGCAGTCAACATAGCAACTATAAAGGACAGACATAAGAAACTGCATGAAAGCAGCAGCTTTCTAGCGTGAGACTAAGTATCGTGTGCATTCCACTTCAAATTGCCCTTTAAGGACCGCTGTCTTTATGGGTGCCCATTGCACCACAGCAAGTTATTACTGCACAGCCTTCTAAATAAATGCAAAACAAACTGTAAAATATAAACTACATAAACCCAAGTGAGAACTATTTCTGCAAAGATGCTTAATTAGTGTTTACAATTTTAACAACAGATCATATGAATTTATCCCTAAAATGCCTCTCGCCTCACTTAATTACCAGTGACTTTACATGCATTTCACTTCACTTCATTTAAGCTTTGGAGGAACAGACACAACTTACACGAGTTCCTTTCTAACAGCAGCATCAAGCTACGTTTAAATTTTTTCGTAATTTCATACTACTTGGAGAAAGATGCTAGTGGCAGCCTGAGAAACTGAAGGCCTTTTATTCATGAGAAAGGAGTGCACCTGGGTCAAGGGCGATAAGGGCTTCACCCCTGCACTGTCCCTACACTGTGCTTCAGCCAGAGCTCACTCATGGAGAGGGGATTTCCGTTTCCATGGCTAAACTTGATATTTCACTTTTGTACTGAAGGCAGTACAATGGTTCACGTCACATGAGCACCTCAAGCAGGATAGATAAAGCACATGCTGCCTTTGGAGATGGATACAGAGCAGGGATTTGGAAAGCAGCCTAGCAGACATTTGTAATAGATATAATTGGAATGGAGTCAATTGTGCCACTAAATTTCTGGTATTTCACATCACTTTCTCCAGCCTGAGTTGAGCCTTGCTAAGCATCTCTCTTTTACAGTTGCAGTCACGGGAGGAAAATGCTGCTAAATTATGTGGAGCTTTAGTGTAAGGTTAGGTATTTTATGGGGCCGAGGTAAATGAATCTCTCAAAAAATTATAGGAAATACTCTGTCAAGTGAACTCTTCTGCCACAACCTGGCCTCTGGCTCTGCCACTGTCCTTTACGATTTCAGGGAAGGATTCATATATGGGCAGAAAAAGGTTCTGTTTCCAAATCCAGAAAGTGATTTTTCAACAAATCTCCTGTGATGCACTTTTCTCTTTGTGCCCCTGCTTCATTCAGATATAGATAGAACATTGCAGGTACAGAAGCCATGGAAACAAAACTAGAAGGTGTACATCACTGTAAAAGAATTGCAGCAGTATTCTATTTTAGAGAAGCATTACCCTAATCACGTGAAGCAAAGCCACAAAAGATTCTCTTGTGAGAAAGCACTGATAACAGAGGTGGTTTCACAATATCACATTGAGTAATGCAGTGAGAGGATCATAACATCTTATGTGACTTTCCTCTTCAACACATCTAGGAAAGTCCTTCATTTGTCCTGATAAATAAACACATACTGAATTCCCCTATTGTGAGCAGGCAGTAACCTGAGATTTTCAGATTTCTTCAGCACTTCTCTAGCCACAGACTCTAAGAAAGTATGTTCAAACTGCTCCCCCTGCCAGTAAGTACATGCACTCTCTCTGCAACATTCCCAAATCCTGAATAGGTCCTCCAGCGCACACTGCAGGCTACTTGCCTCCCAGGTGCTCTCCTGAAAGAGATCCTCCTAACTGATATAGGGAACTTCAAGCGAAGGGGTGGGAATAGCTGAATAAAAGCAATGTCATCTGCCAACAACTTTCTTCTGCTTCTTTAACTTACTTTGCACCTCAAAGGAGCCATTGTCGTTGGGAGACCTCCTGACCTTCTCCACTAGCTGCTGAGTCTTTATCTTCATCTTCTCCTTCTGTGGAAAACAGAAAAGAGCTTGTCACTTCCTCAGGAGCATTTCAGGCATGAGACACCCTAGCTCGCTCCCCGAGTGCGCAGATGAAGGCTTTGTAATTACTAGCTTTACTCAATGTCTGTCACAAACATGTAAAAAATGCTGCAAAAAAGAACCTATTGCATCCAGGATAGCGCCCACAGCAGAGCATAGCAGGGAGCAGCACAGAAAAGATCTCAGCAGAAGACAGAATCACCCTCATTTAAGTCAAGAGTACAGCCACATCCCTCTTCCTAAGACTACAGGAGAAGAGGGTTGAAGAGGCCCTGCCATTCCCATGAATGGAAGACAACCTAGGCTGATCTCACAGAGCAGTTGCCTTTGTTTGTTGCATCTTTTCAAATTTATTTGGCCAGCAGTAAGATGGGGCAAGATCTTTGTCCTGTCTTTCCGACTTACTGTGTTTTCTCAGCACACACACACACACGCACCAAAATCATTCGCAGAACGTCTGCTGTCCCCTGTACTATTTTCTGGAACGTGGGCCAACCATCATCAGTAACATAATGGCGCTGCGTTTCAACCTGTGATTTTCTATTATTTTCTTCTTTCATTTTAATATGTAATTATTATCATACAGGAGACTTCACTTTATAATAAATTTTAAGAGCATGCAAGACTAAATACCATCATGTATTTCATACTTTGCAGTTACTTAGCGAAATTTAAAACAAAGTAAATGAAGGACATTTAACCATAGAAGCAAGTCTTACATAGCTGTAGTCACTAAACCTTATAGTTTTTAGGCAAGTAAAATGACACTAACCTGGCTTGCCATTTCCAGTGACAATAATCTTTTCACTACATCGTCAACGCTGCAAGAAGGTTATAGAAAGTATATTTAACAATAGAAATAAAGTTAGTTTTCAGAACAAATTAACTTTTCTCAAAGTTATTCAAGGAACTTCAATTTATTCTATAAATTTAGAGCAACACCCTCATCACCTAAAACAGTCAGCCATAAGCGATTTCTTGTATTCCTAAGAAAAATCACATCTAAGATCACAGAAGTAGCAATCAGTTTTACTGTTGTGGGAAGCACAGCAGGATTTATTTAAAATCACGATGAAGGCTTAGCAGTTCCAAAAACAGTATTATGTGCAACCTGGCTGCTGAAAATTAACCCTTGTAAGTAGCCAAGGACACAAGGATTAATTTTAAGACTTGCACTTTCAAAGATCTGTGAAAGTCTCATTTATGCCACTTGGGGCTCTCCATGCATCACAAATGAGCAGTTCTGGAATTAAAGCCTAAAAACACAAAACCTCTGGGTCCAAATTTCAGAAGCAGCCATTCATTTTGAGTGTTTAACTATATGCTCTCTAGCACCTGATTTCAAGACAGGCATAAAGTATTTCCACTGATTATGATGCCCGTAGAAGATATGGGCAAGGAGCACTTTTAAGAAGTGGGCTCAGTGCATCTTATGTTAGGTAAACAAAAAGCTAACACATCCCTCATTAGTGACTGCTTTCGTAAATTTGACATTCAAAACAAATTTGCACTTCTCTGCTAAACTGCATATCAGTGACCACAGAGCATTAATGACGCACTGAGCAGGCGACAGCTACTGCATATCGTGGTAGCATGCGTCTAAGATACAAAGCTTGGAAGTGAACAGCTATTTATTATTGGTACATTGGCATAATCTTTCTTCAGCATTGTTGGAGGAAGGTCATCTAAATGACTGGGGAAGTCTACAAAGAAAAGATAAACATTTAAGGAACAGAAGTACTAAGGGAGAGCTCTGAACCATGCCTGCAAACTAGATCAGAGGGAACAAATTGCAAAGAAAATAGACTGGATGCTTCAAAGGATGAACTTAGAGAGCAGCTCTAGATCAAGCTAAGATGAGAGGAATTCAGGTAATAAAATGGGGTCCAGGCTCTTGCCTTGAACACTCTGGATTTACAACATGGTGTACAGCCCAGTGAGATCAGTGATCTCTCTTGCTGAAGACAATTGCTAATTTGCCACATGTTCATGAACTGCTGAATTTTCTGAATAACTTTTGAGCTCATTTGGAATTATTTATAAATCACAGAACTGCAAAAAGGAACCTTAAAAGGGCCCTTGCAAAGTCTCTAGTCCAATCTCCCCTTTGAAGTGGGACTGTCACCATGTTTTTGTCGAGCCAAGCGTAGCGAATTTCTCCAAATACCCACTCTTCCTGCTGCATTAGGGTACAGCTCTGATAGCCAAGATAAAAACATTTTGAAATGGGGCCTCATAATCCAGACGTACCTTTCTTTTTTCTTCTTACAGGCCTGGCATAACATCTGGCTCTCTGAATAAAGGGATTGGAAGCTTGATGGAAGAAAACAAAGATTTATCAGACTTGCACATGCTTTTTAGCAATATACTCATTAAGTACCACTAGCTCTATAATAGAAAACTGCCTGATTAGCGTATTTAGATTCAGGGGTGGTCACTAGTCAACCTAGGTCTTTTGTCCCACAGGCAGCGTGGAACAGTCCCAGCGTGGTTCTCATCCTGGTGCTAAAACAAACAGGTGAAGCTGTGCCACTCGAGGGCAATCTGAAACCAAATGATGGGAAGAACAGAGCTAGCAGGAAGAGAGTACAAATGCCTGACCTGCTGCTGAGCAGACAATGTGAGGGTTCCCAGCTGAACTGTGTTCATTTAAAGGGTTTAAATTGATGGTCTGAACTAATCCAAATAATTTGATGTGCAAGCCGAATGGGTTCCTATAAACCAGTCTGGTGGCAGAAGAGAGAGGCAGTGAGATCTGGCAATAATCTTTGGTGAGCACACCTTGATACAGACAATAATATTCACCACCAGTCTGAATGGAGCTGTTCTTCAACCTTTTAAGAGATAACTGTTCTAACTGCTCTTTTGAGACCCTAGCTATGGGAGTCAATACCTGCTTCAGATTATTCACCTGTGCCACAAACACATCTTGAACTGCAGACTGTTTGCCAGTCCATGTATCTACAAAAGGCATTTGCTGAAAAGGCAACTAGCTAAACTCTGGATTTGTGACACACTAGATTTCCACACGGGCTCCCAGCGTGCACGCTGTGAATGCTGAGCGCAGGACAGCTCTCCCCGTGGCTCAGTATGCTATCTCATGCTTACTACATGGTAACTGCATGCACAGATGAAACTACAGAACTCTAACCCAAACCTTAGCTCAGCTCACATTAACCTCCCTGTGAGCACACGCCATGTGAGCATGCTGTATCTGAGTTATTCTGGTCTCAGATTCATCTGAGCTGCTTCTGTGTCCCCTCTGTGCTCAGGGCAGAGCCTACATGTATCAGAAGCAGCGTACAGACCAGGGGTGCCAGCAGGCCACCTCCAGTACCAAATGTGCACGCCTGGCATCCCTGCCCACAGCGCACTCGGGGCTCACAGGCCCTTCCCCACCGCAACCTGCTGGAGCACCAGGCAGCTTGCCCCTCTCTGAGCAGACAAGGCCTTGCTGGCAGGGCCTGGCCT